TTTTACATTCTGTGTATGAGGATTCCAAGTTCTCAACTTCCTCACCAATGTATGGATTTTGGGGTATACTTTTTAAAAAGTGGGATCAGGCTGGGTATGGTGATGGTGGCTTACACCTGTAATCCCAACACTTTCGGAAGCTGAGGTGGGAGATTCATTTGAGCCCCATAATTCAAGACCAGCCTGGGCAACATGGAGAGACCGTCTCTACAAAACATAATTTTTTTTTCAGACGGAGTCTTGCTCTGTAGCCCAGGCTGGAGTGCAGTGGCACGATCTCAGTTCACTATAACCTCCACCTCCGGGTTCAAGTGATTCTCCTGCCTCAGCTTCTCTAGCTGGGATTACAGGCGTACGCTGCCACACCCAGCTAATTTTTGTGTTTTTAATAGAGACGGGGTTTCCCTATATTGTTCAGGCTGGTCTTGAACTCCTGACCTCAAGTGATCGGCCTGCCTTGACCCCAAAGTGCTGGGATTACAGCGTGAGTTACTGCACCCGGCTGTAAAGAGGATTTTATTTTCGGTTTTTGCCGATGACAAGTTTAGTCATGAAGTAACCTGTGCTGAGCACAGGTTCTAAGTGGCTGGGCGGGGATTGAGTCCAGAGTTGCTGGGAAAGTGGTATCAGGAATTATCAGTCAGTTCTTTCTTTCAGTTGTTAGGGTGTTGTGGATAGTTACAATTGCAAAGAATAGCCCCCAGAGCTTTATGCTCGGAGCCTCAGTTTCCTCATCTACAAAATGAAAGTAGCGATGTGTGCCTTACACTGGTCGCGGGAGTCTCGCGAGGAAACATACCTCGCATGTCTCAGAACACACTAAGCGTCCATGCCTGGGATGGGCCACGCTCACTGTCGTCACAGAGAAGCACAGGCAACTGAAGTTGGCCAGGGGGCTGCTCCCATTGCAGTGGGGCTCGTGTGCCCCTGGAGTCCAGGTGTCCTCAGACAGGTCGCCATTCGTGTGCCTCTGGAGTCCAGGTGTCCTCAGGCAGGTCGCCAGAGAAACTGTCAAACCAAGAGTTGTTTCGGCAACTGAGTAGTTTCCTCCCTGTCTCAGAGTCAGACATCTGAAACGTCCCGGGATTGATGGTAAGGGCAGCCAAGAGGTCTGCTCTCAATGTACCCTCTGGGCTGGAGAGCAGGTCTCCCTCCAGAGTTGGGGCCCTCCCTGGCCCATCCTTGCCAGGGTGGGCTCCCTAACCCCAGGGGTGGCAGTGCTGAGCCTTTTTAGCTGTTGTCACTGAGCCAGCCATGCAGGCCCGGGTCTGACGAGCTGCCCTGGACTCCACATGCAATCAGTGTCCAGGGCTTAAAGCTCAAAGTGTTCCGGGTGTATGCTGTAGCCTTGCCCTTGTCACTGCGCAGAGGGGAGGTGGGGCCTGTGGAGGCTGGGGCAGCCCCCTCCCCACTCACCCTTGCACTGAGGGTGTTCGGGCAGCTGGTGTGTGTCCATGTGTGGCCTCTCTCACCATTTCTCTCTCTCTGCAGCTCTGCTGTACAAGCCTGTGGACTGTGTGACGAGGAGCACGCTGGTCCTCCATGTGAGTCACAGCACCCCTCCTGACTGGGACCAAAACTGCCCCCTAGGGCACGCGCAGCACCAGGGCTCTGTAGGGCACACGAAGCACCAGTGTTCCGCGGCATTTCTTTTGGTTGTCATAGCTGCATCCGAGGGGGTGCTGCTGACATCTAATGGGTAGAGGCCTGGGGTGGTGTTGGACATTCTGTAGTGCAAGGGACAGCTCACTCTTGCCCCCCAACAAAGAATTACTCCACGCAAAATGTCAGCAGTGCTGAGGTTGAGAAACCCTACCCTAGAGCCTTACAGAGGAGCCCCTCCTGGCGTGTGCATGCGGCTGGGTTTGCTGGAGCACATCCAGAACCTGCTTCTGGGATGTTGCTCACACAAGTGCGGCCCAGGTGAGAGATGCCCGCACAGCCGGCCCAAGTGAGAGAGGCGGTGGTGACATGATGCAGTGGTGACACGAGGCAGTGGTGACACCGAGACAGTGCTGACACCGAGGCAGTGGCGACACGAGGCAGTGGCGACACCGAGGCAGTGGCGACACCGAGGCAGTGGCGACACCGAGGCAGTGGTGACACCGAGGCAGTGGTGACACACAGTGGTGACACTGAGGCAGTGGCGACACCGAGGCAGTGGTGACACCCAGTGGCGACACCGAGGCAGTGGCGACACCGAGGCAGTGGTGACACAAAGTGGTGACACCGAGGCAGTGGCGACACACAGTGGTGACACCGAGGCAGTGGCGACACGAGGCAGTGGCAACACCAAGGCAGTGGTGACATGAGGCAGTGGCGACACCGAGGCAGTGGTGACACCGAGGCAGTGGCGACACCGAGGCAGTGGTGACACACAGTGGCGACACCGAGGCAGTGGTGACACCGAGGCAGTGGTGACACTGAGGCAGTGGTGACACACAGTGGCGACACCGAGGCAGTGGCGACACCAAGGCAGTGGCGACACCGAGGCAGTGGTGACAGCGAGGGAGCCAGCACTCTGGGCTCCGTCTGTACCTCATGTCTGCACTTTGCACACAGTGGCAGGTACCAGGGCCCCTCTGTGTCTAATTCATCCGTCTTTCCAGGCAGGACTTGCTGAAGCACACTCCCACCAGCCACCCTGACCACCCCTTGCTGCAGGACGCCCTCCGCATCTCACAGAACTTCCGATCCAGCATCAATGAGGAGATCACACCCCGACGGCAGTCCATGACGGTGAAGAAGGGGGAGGTGAGTGTGATGGGGGATGGCATGGGTTTGCCCAGCCTGCTGAGCTGGGGGCAGGCAGGGCACCCTCGATCTGAGGCCTAGAGCCCCTCCTGGTCCTCAGCAGACCTTGCTTTTTGGGATTGGTGAGCTTGGCAGCACACCCAGTCCTGTGTGGAAGGCGTCGGGGTGCAGATGCAGGGGTGACTCCACACGCACCATGCCCTTCAGGCGGCGTCCGTCACCGTGCCTCACTCAGCCACCTCTTTCCTTCTCTGTCATGGTGGGTTATGTCCAGGGAACCCTTTTTTATCTCCCACACTCTTGCCAGCTCAGGGTCCCCAGCCTAGGAGACCTGTGGGAAGGAGGTGAGTAGGAGGGTGGCATTTTGTCTGCCTGGAATCCTCCTCCTTCCTCCTGAGTGCTTTCATTAAAAAACAGTTAAGATCGGATTTAAGGATTTGAGAGGGGGAAGAAAGGGGGGTTCACAGTTTGTGTCTGTGACGTGAGGCTTCACATCTTCCTCCGGGAAGGCGCTCCTTCTTCCCCGCCGTCACTGACGTACTCATCAATGGGCAGACATGGCCTGTGTCTGTGCCGCTCTGAGCCTCCCTGGGTGGGGCCTGGCACACAGCGAGGCAGGTGCCTTCCCAGGCGGGCAGCAGCTACTGAGAACAGCTGAGGCGTGCAAGCCGGGCAGCCGGTGTCCAGTGGGAACAGCTCTTGTCAGAGGCAGCACTGAGGTGAGGGAAGCTGACCCATGGCCTAAGGGGCCTCATGCAGGGACAGGAACTGTCTGGCCCAGGCAGGACACAGGCTGGGCATGGACTGACTGTAGTTGCCTCTGAGAACCACCTCCTTCTCTTCTGGTTTATGTGCTAGGTGATTGGCAGTGTGCCAAGGACACAGGCCCTGTCCTCAGGGTAGCCCCAGGACGGACCTGCCCAGCACATGGGTTTTTTTCCTTTTCCTGCCCTGAGCCGTCAGGCAGGCAGCTCTCAGCCCTGTCCACCACACACTTCTTTGGGAATGGTACCCTGAGTGCCCAGTCTTGACCTTGAGTGAGGGGCTTGGTCAAGTTTCTCCTGGTGGGCCCGGCCCAAGGAGGGAGCTGTCCTCTCCATTCCACTCTCCAGGCTTGTCCAAGCCCTGGAGAGCTGGGCAGACGCAGGGTCCATGCCAGCATCATGAGGACCGACCCATTGGGTGGCCTGGAGTTTCTCCTCCCTCGTCTTTGCAGCAGAATGGGAACATGGCCCCACCTCATTGGACATGATTTAGCGGCAGTCCTGGCCATCCGTGATGGCTCCTTGGCATTCTGAGCTCATTGAAGGCAGAAGTGGGTCCCTGGCACCTTCCAGGGGAGGTGTTGAGCAGCGCAGGTGTTCCCCAGCTGATCAGCCCATGACTGGGGCCTGGGAGAGGCGGGGGATCAGATCTTGCTTCTTGAAGCATCAATGGGGCCCTGCCCCTGGTTCTCTTCCCTGGCTCAGGGCCACAGAAGGAGAGCAAGCCTGTGACAAACCTGTGGGCAGCTGCACAGATCTAAGTGGATGTTGGATTTGCTTCACCTAAGCCTCCATGTGCTGGGTGGCTTCCTGCCAGGCTTGCTCTTCCCTCCTGCTCTTTCCCTTTACTGACATTCTTCTATGAGCGCTCTGACCTCCTGGGAGGCGAGTGTGGGATCCTTTTTCCCATGGCTTCTCCTGTGCTGAGTCTGCGCCCTGCATCTCCAGCTGCCATTTATCATTGCTAGACAGAGGGAAGGACCTTCTCACCACTCAGATTATTGGAATCCACTGCCTTGGGGAATTGAGGAAAATGGTGATGTTGCCTAGAAGTTGGCAGCCAGGCCCTCGTTCCTGCATGGGTCCCCATTGCGGCCTCCTTCCACGATGACTCAGGCCAGGTCTCGGGACCACCAAGGAGGAAGTGTAATTTAGGAAGGGCTGGGAGCTTCACAAAGGGAGGGGCCTGGATCTGCATCCTCGCCAGCACCTCGCCCTGGTGGAGGGGCATTTGCTCATTGAGGAGGGGTCACCTGGGTCCCTCAACTGCAAAGCAAGGTGGAGGACTAATGACACTAGGAAACATCACTGTGAGCCTGACCAGCACCCCCTTGTTCAGGGCTTTCTGAGGCCCGTCAAGGGATGTGGCTTGATGGTGGCTAAGCCAGGATGATAGACAGATGCCTTGCTGTGCGCCTCCCCTGCCATTCCTGAGGCAGATGCTGCGAATCAGTTGGCCGCTCCAAGCCTGGACGTCCTCCTCAGTATCCCCTGGCACTGCCCAGCGAGTTTGCAGTCCTTTATGCAGAAAGAAGGATGCCAGATGGGCAAAGCCCTGCCAGGTTCCGCTCTCCCTTACTGCTTACCGGTGTACTGATTTGGGGACACCCTTTTGCTTCCCTGGGTGCCCCTGCTCTCTGAGGGCAATGATGCATGGTCCATGGCCCCTCCACTGGGTGTTGAGACTGAACAGGTTTCACAGCCTTCGAGGGACTTTATGGAAGGAAGGGGTGGTGACCTGCCTGCATGGCGCCATCTCTGTCAGAGGTGACAGGAGAGCTCCCCTGATGTCACCAGCCAGGAAAGAGGGCAGGAGCTGCAGGCCCCTTCCTCTTAGAATTTGCAGCCAGGGCGGGGCCTGAGCTTTTCTCCTGCGCATCTCTCAGTTTGGTACATGACACAGAGTGTCAAGTTCCCAAAGGGAGAGAAACTGTGCCTCATGACAACTCTGTGCGGTCAGAGGCGATCTCCCATTTACAGTTGAGGAAACTGCGACTCAAAGAGGTTGAGTGTCTTGCCCACGGTCACACAGCCACTAAGTAGCTAAGCCAGGATGCAAGTGAGGCCAGGGGTCCCCTGTGGGCACCTTGAGTGTGTTACTTTTTGTTTCCCTTCCTCCTTTGTGAGCCAAAAGGACATGTCCACCCCTCCTCTTGTCCCTGCAACATCTGGAGGTAGGAAGAGTCACAAGGAGGAGATGTCCCTTTCAGCTCTGCACACCACCCCATCCCCTGCCGCTCCTGCTGGGAGTGTGTCAAGGGGGTGGAGCTGTTTCTGGCTTCCCTGGCATTTGGTGTCGAGAAAAGCTGCCTCTGTCAGCCTGGGTCACTGCTGGGCCTCCTGGGAGGTGGCCCATTGCTACCTGCTCAGCCTGGGCAAGTCTGACATCGAGGAGAGGCACAGGTGTGAGCCCTGTTCAGGGTCAGCTGCCCCAGCCCTCCCCTGTGGCTCCTGTAATCTCATCACCCTTTTCAGCCACATCCCATGGCTCCAGGGCTGTGTTCTTTGAGGAAGAGTGACTTTGGGCTGCATTCCTGGTGGCCCTCTGATGCTCGATGGTGGCCGGCAGGTGCCCCGTCTTTCCAGTGTCCTGGCCCAAGCACATCTGTGGGCCATGAGTCGCAGGTGCTGCCCAGGAGAATGCCCTCCTCAGCCTCCCCAAAATAACCAGATCAAAGGATCCTGCAGGCACTGTTTCTTTCCAGGCCTGGGTTCTGAGGGCTGGTGGCTGGCGCTCATTTGTTTAGTTGAATTAACTTTATAGTTAGATCACCGATCCTCGCTGCTGGCTGACTTCCCACATGGTTGCCTGTCCGTCTCCTTGGAGCCTTGCACCATGCGCTGCTCAGCACCCCCTCAGCTCAGGCTCGGAAGCATAGTAGATGATGCATTTGGGATGTTTTGTTTCCCAAGAGCCAGCCAGGCACTGCTCTCCAATACCCATTCTCTGCCTGGGATCCCAGAGGCCCCTCCATAGGAAGAACGCAGGCAGCAGTCCAAACGGGAGCTGTAGGAAGGCTCTGGAGCAGGGAGGCACCACCGATGCAGGCTTGAGGCTGAAAGGTGGTGAGGCTCTGGCAGAGGAGAACCAAGGTCTTTTAATCAGTTGATGATTAATGAGTTGGAGAACAGGCTGGGCGTGGTGGCTCCTGCCTATAATCCCAGCACTTTTGGAGGCCAAGGCAGGTGGATCACTTGAGGTCAGGAGTTCAAGACCAGCCTGGCCAACATGGTGAAGCCCCGTCTCCACTAAAAATACAAAAATTAGCCTGTCATGGTGGCACGTGCCTGTAATCCAAGCTATTCGGGAGGCTGAGGCAGGAGAATTGCCTGAACCTGGGAGGCAGAGGTTGCAGTGAGCGGAGATCGTGCCATTGCACTCTGCA